CAATACCCACGTTCGTGTACGAGACCCACCCCCCCCCCCCCCAAAAACCCCCCACCCCACAAAACCCCCCAAGCAACAACCCAAACCCCCATTATCACTTTCCTACCAACTGTTATTTTTTTTTAAGATACGACACCACATCGTTTTTATCTTCTATGTTTGTGACCCTGCTTGGAGTCTTTGCAAGACTGTTATGGCTCATCTCTCTGATCTACTGCTTCAAAATATCTTCATGCTTAAGGTTCATGGGTTGCCCAAATATGTTCTGTATCTCCAGTGTTAACCTCTTTCTCACATTATCCGACCATATTTGTCAATTTCACAATGTCCCTTGTTCTTTGTATTTAGCTTTGCTTGAACAGTTCAGAAGGAGGTAATGTACTTTTGAATTTACAGATTTTGCTATTTAGAGAATGTGTGCCTCCACCTTCAGTTGGAATGGATGATATTCCGTGGATTGCCTTCTGCACAGTTTTGGCCTTAATCTTCCATTTGTACATGTATATATCAATGAGTTTGCATCCACCATTTAATCAGTAATTGTCACTGTAGTGTTAAAGGCACGCAGCCTAGAGCATGTCTCTTTCATTTTATCATCTGCTTGTATATTTCCTGCTTCAGAAGTGTGAATCTGTGTAAATGCATAGGATGTAGGTAATACCAAGTTCATTTAAGCTCCTTCTCCAGAAGATACTAAATGTGGAAGGTCCTGCAAAAGCTGGCGTCATCCGCAATTTGTCTTGGGTATGCGACTGCAGAACTGTTTTACGCTTTTGGTAATTTTCATGCTTTCACCATAGGCTTGTATCTTTTTTCATTTGTTTCTCTGGAATTAGTTAATTCATGAAAAGGGATTTGAAATATGGACGATTATGTTTAATAATTAAATAATCTTTGTTCAGTATTGATTAGCGCATTTAGCTCATCATGTTACATTTGTTCTTGGTTGATTGTAGAACTCTTATAGATAAAAGATGTCATCTTCCAATTTGTTTTCTTGTCAATCTCATCTATCTCCTATTGCATTACGCAAATTGTCTGATTCTTTGTAGCTTCAATGTATGTAGAATGTGAAACACCCTAACCTAGAAATATAATACTCCTTCCCTCCCTATACAAGTTAGAGCCGATTTGACTTGTGCAGAGCTTTAGAGTAAAATGTTTAAGTAGAATTTTATATTGAGTTATAATGTTTGGATAATGATTTGACATATGAGATAATTGAATTTGTTGAAACGATGTCACATCAAGTTGGAAATAACATAAAGTACTCCGTAATAATAGTTTATCTTATATGTTACCATTCCCCCCCAAAAAAAAAAGTTTATCTTAGTTTGAACTGTTGGAGGGAGAAAATATATTTCCATTTAAGGAAATAGGTCAAACTTCTTGGGAAGGACATAATGGGTAAGTAGGTGTAACTAAATGGTGATGTAAAACTATTAGTTTTTCTATTTGGTCCTATATAACTCTTCTAGTCAATATTTTTGCTGGAAAAGCAATAGAAATTGGATGAGTGATGAAAAAACATACTGCCAGTTCACCTGTACTTTTGAAGTACCTCCTTGGTACTTTATTAATAAAATTTACTTTACCTTATTTTTTTTTTGAAAAAAAAAATCTTCTAGTTCACCTTAGGAATTTGGGAAGAACTTTTTATCCCGTACTGTTCTTTTCTATATCTTTTGGTTCCACTTGAATAACTTTTACTTTAGTGTGTCATAAGAATATATAATCTCTTACACTACTTTCCCTGCTATACTTTAGTGTGTCATAAGAGTAAAGCTAAAATCTTGAGTTAGATATAGATCTGTCATAAGAAAAGGAACATCCAACTTTCAACTGTTATGATTGGTACTGTTATGATTGGTACATTGGTGCTGGTGCTTTTTTAACCAGTTCTTTGCCGAGTCCGAAACCTAAATAATGGTATTTTGTCCAAAATACCTTTATACAGTAAAAAAAAAAAGTTACCTTTCTAACTAAAACGCAGTATTATACTGCGTTTTAGTTTAACGGAAAGTTAGCCGTTAAAGGAAAACGTAGTATAATACTGCGTTTTAGGAAAACGTAGTATTATACTGCGTTTTCCTATTAAATTGTAAACCCACTGTCTTCCCCACGACAGAAACCCACTGGTTTCAAATTAAAAAAACCCCACCCCCTTTCCAGCGGTCCCCCCACCCGATTTAGAAAAAAAAAATCGATTGGGCCCCACCCGTCTCACAAAAAGTGAAGAGTGTAGGTCCCGCATACAACCCAAGCCTTCGATTATTGTTGTTTCCTTGTTTCGGGCTCAAAATTTCAAATTTCCAACATTTCTAAAAACATAAATCGAGGTATTCCAATTTAGTTTATGTCGAAACTCGTATAATTATGCATATTTGTTTTCTTGAATGTGTTTCCACGTAGATTTGTGTTTTGTTGTGCGATTAAATTTGTATGTTATTTTTACCCGGATTAAATTATTAGTGTTTAAAAAAATAGTTAAAAGTTGAGAAATAATTTTTATTGTTAATAAAAATGTTCATAAATTTCTTTTACTGTTTTATATGTAATTTCGTGAATGTTATGTTCATATGTTTGTTGTTTTTATTTACTTTAGATTATTTATTTGCTTAAAGAATAATGGTCTTTTAGCGTAGTAAAATATAGAGCCTTATAGCATAGTAAAATATAGAGCCTTTTAGTAAAACGTAGTATTATACTACGTTTTCCTTTAACGGCTAACTTTCCGTTAAACTAAAACGCAGTATAATACTGCGTTTTAGTTAGAAAGGTAACCTTTTTCTTTTAGCTGTATAAAGGTATTTTGAGTCCAAAATACCATTATTTAGGTTTCGGTTCTGTTCTTTGCTAATCTTCTCTTGGTCACGTCAATCTTATTGGAATCATGACTAAATGCAACTTATAAAAGAGAAGGTGCCTGGGGGGGTTGTTTTTTTAGGGGGGGGGGGGGGGGGGGTTAGGAAAATTGCTCTGCTAGGCAACTCGAGGATTGCAAAACTTTCTTTGCCCTGCTTACGATGAGAACAGAGGATTAGTTGTCTTTTTGAAAACCTTCATTTTTTTTTCTAAAGGATTGCTTTGGGTGCTCTACTCTTGCACCTAAAAATAAATAAAGGCGTTCCATCTGTAAAAGCTTAAGATGATAAATTCACATAACTCAACATGTTTCAATATGTATCAGTGTAGGCATAGGTTTTGGTTCGAATCTCACCGCCGACAAGCAACAACACTTTTCACGTGTTTGACCAAAGAATTACTTGCATGTAAGGTGCTGTGTTTGACTCTTCAAATAAATATATGTGTCCAATTTCTAACAATTTAAACTTGTACATTTGCAGGTTTACATGATTCAACATCTACTCGTTATTTAATCAACATAACAGAAGAAAAAGAAACTGTCTTATTGCGGTAGTGTCACAGTCTTGGATCTGACATAGCAATGAGACTGTTTATTCTCCTCTATTATAGAGGTTTACTGTCCTTGCTACATTATTATCATGTTGATTAAAATCTCTGTGGAGCCGTTGCCCGTTGGGCTGTTTGTCATATGCTTTATACAACATTGGGTTGCATTTCTGGTTTTTCTTTTCCCCTTCTTTCGCTGGATGGATGCTTTCTATCTTGCCGTAAAATGCCATGATGTGCTTAATGTTTATTCGTGTTCTCTCTTCCTGGAACTGATTAAATAATACGCCTTGAGCTGCTTTACAAATCTGTGTGCAGAGTGTTAACAGTCTGACATACATTTCGGTCTACGAACTTTAGTGTAGTTTATTCCGGTGTCAAATTTGGTTTCTCAGTGCTCGTACGAACTTAGTGCACCGGGCTGCCCTTTAGTGCTCGTACGAATTGGGCCTAGCTTATGAAGGCTTCTATATCTTCAATTTAGCTTGTCTTTTTGCAGATTGTGAGAAAATGCTTGTAATTGTTGCAATCTTGCCTTTTTAGTCTCATAGCTAAAATAGTGATAAAATAAAATTAACAACTTCTTCTACACTGTAGATTTTATATTGTTTCCTGGTCCCTGAACTTATTGTGGCACTTGGAATTATGCCTATACTTAGTGCTTATTGTCAAGCTGTTAGAACTGGCATTCCCATTGAAATGATCAAAGGGATGTTTGTTAGGAGAAGTCGAGCAGTTTAGAAGGGTGGAATGTTTCTGAAATAGTCTACTGACATTCTTCCATTTCACTCAATGTACAATCTTGAGTACTGTGCCTTGTACAGGAGTTGCATAACATTTCTAGAAATGATCAGTTCTACAGTAGCAAAGAAGAATGAGCACTTAAGGTGACGGCCCGTCTAGATTCTTTTCGGTTGACTCAACGGAGAATTAATGCGTTTCGACTTCGTAGGCAATGAATTTACATACAATAGATATAGTATACAACAGGTTATGGTTACAGATGCCGACATTCTAAACAATGAGTTAAGCATCATGGATGAATTACGGTCACGAGCTTTGTGATAGCAACATCAGAAACAGATTGAGATGCGTCGGCTTTCTGGTGATGTGGCACATCTAATGACACTAATGAAGATGTTCTCATCGCAGGGGATCCATAATTTCGAATGAGTAGTGAAATCATAAGCATCTTGAGCTTGATCCAGCAATGCCTTGAAGAGCGGATGCTTCAGCAAGGTGATTTTGATTACAAACCTCTTTTGGTACTTCCCTACATAAACTACCGCATGACCTTTCGGAACATCCCTCGGGATAGCCTTCTCTTCCTTAAGGAAAGGCCAAATAGTCCATTTACAGCATTTGTCGCAAGCCGCTGAAGGTATGTCTTTGCCACCCTTCTTTTGCCATTTGTTTTGGCATGCCCGGAGAAAGAAACTCTCTGTCATTTTCATATCAGTTTGCATGGAATATGCAGGAATTGGACCACTACAATAAAACTGGAGGGAGAGGAGAAAGTACAGTGTGTTGTCTGTGAGAGTGAGACAGGTATATATAAGAGTTGGGAAGATCCAATATTTTGTGATCATTAAATGGTAGGACACAGTGTGTAGCTGAGAGGCAAACTAAATGTGACTGATATTATAAAGTCTACTAGATTGATGTGCATTGCTGTTTCTTTATGGTACTCCTTCTCGATACGATCATGTACGAACATGCATTGCATGATTTAAGAGTCATATATATACATGTATAGATTGAGCCACAAAAATCTACATTAGCTCTCTCTTCCTTTTTTGATGCCAGATAAATAATCTGTTGAAGTTTTCATTATTTAGACCCCACAATAGTGAATGAATAGATAAGATAGGAAAGATGAAATGGGATAAGTTTCTTGGACACAGTGCTATGCCCATTTCCCACTTGTAATTATTGTCATGTTATTAGATTCAGTTCTTGATGTTTAGAGAGAGAGAGAAGAGAGAAGTGGGGGCTTTGAAAATATAGAATTTTGAATTGTGTTTCTGTAAACTTGAATGATCAAGAAAAGGAGGGAGGAAGAGGCTGATCGCCAACAATGAAAATATAGAATTTTGAATTGTGTTTCTGTAAACTTTGAATGATCAAGAAAAGGAGGGAGGAAGAGGCTGATCGCCAACAAAACGGGGTTAATATGTTAGGCCTACTATAATTAAAGGGCAGCCCGGTCTACAAAGCATCCCGTAGGGTCAGGGGAAGGGCCGCAACCAAAAGTGTGTGATGTCGACGACCTACCGTAATGTAAGTATTAGTGGTTGCTTCCAAGACTCGAATCCGTGACCTATAGATCCTACGGAGACAACTTTAGGGAAAAGCCGCAACCCAAGGGTGTGATGTCGACAACCTATCACTAATGCTTACATTAGTGGTTGCTTCCACGGTTGGAACCTTTTGACCTATAGGTTTCACGGAAACAACTATACCGTTACTCCAAGCTCTCCTTTAGGCCTATGACAATTATGAACTTTAGTACTAGTGTTTTATATCGTCCAATTAGCACTTAATTACTCATTAATTTGGATCATAGTAGTGCTTACGTTCATAATTTGTGTGTTATAAAAGTAAGAATGAACCATGGTTTTATGCACATGTACTTTTCTTTGATTCCATTGCTTATTTAAAAGGTAGAACAAGTTATCATCTTGAACAGAGAGTACTGCTAGTGCGTACTGCCGTACAGAGGTAATCTTTATGTGGGCACAATAACTATCTTCTGACATTAAAGATCCAGATTTTAATACACTGCATATAGCATTTGAGGAACTTTTGTAATGGAGCTAAGGTAAGTGGAGAAAACAAAGCATTGGCATTGCAGACTGCAGTACATTTTTCAGTGATCCGAGGCAAAGTGCAGAGCAATGCCCTCATTAAATGTGATGTGGTAATTAAGTTGCTTTCAGATGGCTAGAAGCTGTATTCTTACTTAAAAAAGAGTCTTTGATCTGAGTTTGGTGGGAAAGCCTTTGATTGTACTGTTTGACTATGTTGCGTGGACTCTCCAAAACAGCTACCGCAACCCGTGTCGGATCCTCCAAAAATGCACTACTTTTGGAGGATCCGACAAACACCCAAATGATATTTTCGGAGAGTCCGAACAACATAGCTATTTGATGACTAGTCCCAATTAGAGGCGGATATAGAGCGGCTTTTGTGGGTTCAAACTGACATGTTGCTTTCAGCTCAAACTATATATTGATATGCTGAAAAGACTTAAAATTTATTCATAATTTACACCCCGAGAATACAGTACTAGCTCAACATGGAAGCATAATGACAATAGGTTTACTGTCTATCTCTGATTAAAACTACATGTGTATTGTAGATTAAAAATATAGTATATATTTATACGAAGTTTGCAAGTTTTGCCAGAGATAAGTTGTAAAAAAGATAAAGGGTCAAATGCAAATTTTAGGCTGGAAAAGAAGAAATATTACCAAATTTGAGCTGTGAGAGTCAAAAGACAATCTAACTCCATGTTGTACTTTCTGATGTGGGATTTCGTTCATAAATTGATGTGATATAGACTGAAACGCCAGCACATGGATTCATCCTCTAAAGACAGGTATACTGTTCATATGAAGTGTATACTGATGGACACTTGTTAGCTGGAGAAGAACAACACATAATCACTGACCACAGAAGAAGAAATATTCAGCTACACAATTAATCATTTTTATATAAAATGGAATTTCTAACTATTAAAAAGGCCATCATTATCCAATCATGAAATGGACCTCTTACACAGTTGTAATAGGGTCACTGCATCTAAGTAGGCGTTTGGACATAAATTTCAAAATAAATTTTCAAATTTGGAATATCACTAAAATTTGAATCGAAGATGAAGTTGTGTTGATTATAATTTTTGCAACATATTTAGATGTCTTTTTTCGCAAAATCATGAATTATGATTTTTACTCCATAACTTGTAAAAAATATCAAAACCGCCCCAATTTAATTATCCTACTTGAAATAAACAATCAAACATGCTAGTGTTTAACTGTTATCATATTCTGCTTTACTTCAATATACAGAAGATGCAAAATCAATATCAGATTTCTAACATAGTTCGCTTCCCACTGCTATTACCAGTACTTGTATTCATATTTACAGTCCCACTACCAACATGATAGTCGTAACAAGAAAAGGGTTATTATCCGCTGCAGTAGCTTCATCTGATCGTCGAAGGAAAATAGGTGGGTAGTTTTAGGTTAATAATTGATGGGGTCATTTTATAAGTTTTAAAAGTATAAGGTAAATTTTTAAAGTTAAAAACTAGTGAAAATGCATTTTCAATTGAAAAACTAGTAAGACCCAGTTTTTCAAATTTGAAAATGCATTTTCAAGTGAAATTGGAAAAATTGGTAAGATATTAATAACCAAACATTGTTTTCAAAAAAAATTTGGAAGAAAGGAAAAATTTTGTATGTTCAAACGGGCTCTAGTATTTAACCTGAATATTGACATTCGTTTTTTAGTTATACAAAATATATGTGTAAATATAATTATATTTATAAATTATAAAGCACTGTTTTAGTAACTCAAACCTATTTGAGAAGATCATAACCAAAAAAAGTTACTTGAATTTTAAGGGAAAATGACACTGTATAGCCGTATATATTTTTTGTGTATATGCATTCTGTTGTTAGATACAAAAATTATACAAATTTTATACATTTTTTCGGCTACTGAATATAAATAGTTTTTGACGGGCCAAAAGTGAAAAAAGCCCAATTTTCAAATCATAGTAATGATAGTGTTTATTGGATAGAGGGAGTGACTTATGCTTTCAGGGCGTAAGCACCTTGCTTGAAGTGGTGTCACGTGATACCGCTTCGTCGAATTTTTCTCGTAATTTGTAGGTACAAATAAATAAAATTAAAATATTGGATATAAATATAAAAAATGACATCGCTTGCCGTTACAGTAATTTATTCATTTATTCATTTCTTCAAATATTGACACCACTTACAAAAATTCCTGTATACACCATTGTGTGCTTTGAAATTTGCAGGCTAAAGCACTTTTGGCGCAACATAGTCCGGATTCGCCATAGGAAATCTCACTTTGGGGATAAAACACTTCCTGTCAAAGGCAATTCCATTCACAGATGTACGAACACGAGACCTCTGATTAAAGATGGATGAATATTTACCAGTCAATAACAACCATTTATTGTACGTACTCCCTATACCCTGTTACAATAACTTGGCCTACTATTTCTACTAACACGGAGACTTTTTGTTAGAATTAAGAAGGGACATATTCTTTTTGTTAGAATTAAGAAAAGCAAAAGAGAAATGTTAGTTTGAAATGTGTAGAAAGATTTGATTACTTAGTTAAGACTTAAGACAAGGTAAATCTGCATAACAAAAGACTACGTAAGTTGTTATTTTTTACATACCAAATGACTAAATATATTCTGCTGTGAGATTGCCTACAATAAAATGTTAAATCTGAAGATGTGAGTGAAATAATTAAATAAATAAAAGAAATCAAAATGTTTTCTTTTTGTAACTAATAAAACGGTCCACGACACCACGAAATTTACCGAAAAGGAATGAAGGACAAGAGGGAGAGGGATCTTTGCTCTTAAAACATTATTAAAAGAAAACAATATTTGGTCACATATTAGAATAATAATTTTATGATTTTCTTAGATTATTAAAAAAACATTATATGTGCCTAGTTACCTACAGGCATGGATTTTTTGGAACATACCACAAGAATGTGGTGTCTTAATTAAGGAAACTTTGGTGGTTATATGAAGGAAGTTTCGCAGCAAGTCCACTTGGAAGCAAAATTCAAAATCTAGGTCTATTTCAATTGTTTTCGATAAAAAAAAAAAAATAATAATAATAATAATAATAATAATAATAATTTTTTGTTTTTACTATGTTTTCTTAGAAAAGATTTCCTTGATATTTCAAAATATTTTTTATATTTTCAGTTTTGGTCCAATTGCTACGTGTGACACGGTGGATATCGAAGCTAGGATTTAAAATTATTGAGAGGGTCTCTAGATTTACTTAAAGTTATTGGAATATCGAACTCAAGATGTCGGTTAATTTGTGTTGGATCGAAATAACATGGTGCATGCGGAAGCTAACAATGCAAAGCTTAGTGGACAATAAATCAGAGTATAAAAGAAAAATATACTTGACTAGGCAAATAATTTATTACAGTTTGGTCAATCGAGCTACATTGATGCGGAAGCTAACAATGCAAAGCTCGGTGGATGATAAATCAGAGTATAAAACAAAAATATACTTGACTAGGCAAGTAATTTATTATGGTTTGGTCAATCAAGTTACATTGATCTACCACTAATATAAAAAGAGAATAAATTTTTTGAGAGAATAATATCTCCTAAACATGATTCTCGTAAGAACTACATTCTGGAGGCTGTTGTTTTGTT